GTTCTCCAGGGCATTGCAGCTGCCCAAACCATCAAGGGCATCCAGGAGGAGGGCGTCATGGCTACCGCGAAGCATTATGTCGCCAACGAACAAGAGCACTTCAGACAAGCATGGGAGTGGGGCCTTCCGAACGCGATATCGAGCAACATCGACGACCGCACACTACACGAGATCTACGCATGGCCCTTCGCCGACTCTGTCAAAGCTGGAGTGACCAGCGTCATGTGTTCGTACAACCAGGTTAATTCAAGCTATGCCTGCCAAAACTCCAAGCTGCTCAACGGTGTCCTGAAGGATGAGCTTGGTTTCCAGGGCTTTATTCAGAGCGACTGGTTAGCACAGCGTTCAGGCGTGGCTAGTGCTCTTGCGGGCTTGGACATGACCATGCCTGGAGATGGCTTGAGATGGGCCAAGGGCAACAGCTTATGGGGCCCTGAGCTTACCCGTGCGGTTCTCAATGGAAGCGTGCCCATCGATCGTGTCGACGACATGGTTACTCGTATTGTGGCATCTTGGTATCAGGTTGGCCAGGACAAGTGGGAAAATGACGGACCAAACTTCTCTTCGTGGACCAACGACCGGGTCGGCAAGCTTCACGAGGGCAGCCCATCGGACCACGAAACAGGCATCGTAAATCAGTACGTCAACGCACAAGGAGAAGGGAAAGAAGCCCATGGACACCTAGTACGTCGCGTCGCAGCCGAAGGTACCGTCCTGGTGAAGAACGAGGGCAAGATGCTGCCTCTGGACCGAAAGGGCTGGAAGACTGGCGGCAAAGCCAAGACAAAGTTCCGCGTTGGTGTCTTTGGTGAAGATGCACGTCTCCCTCATGAGGGAATCAACCACTGCCCTGATCAGAGCTGCAACGAAGGTACATTGGCCTCGGGATGGGGTTCTGGCGCGGTCAACTTCTCGTATCTAGTGGAGCCCATGTCCGCTATTCGAGACGCGTTCGACAACGAGACTGTTTACGTCACCGATTGGCTAGAAAACAAGCTGCCTAGTCAGAAGGAGATTCTCGTCGATCAGGACCTCTGCATTGTCTTCGCCAACGCCGACGCCGGAGAGGGCTACCAGCACTATGAAGGCATTCGTGGTGACAGGAATGACCTTAACCTGCAAAAGGGCGGCGACAAACTAATTCAGGATGTTGCTAAAGATTGCGGAGAAGGCATGGGCGATGTTGTGGTTGTCATCCACACTGTTGGACCTGTAATCCTGGAGAATTTCATCGACATCATGAATGTCAGAGCCGTCATTATCGCCAATCTTCCCGGTACCGAATCTGGTAACGCCATCGTAGACGTACTCTTCGGTGACGTCAACCCATCTGGACGTCTACCTTACACAATCGCCAAGAAGGAGGACGACTACGGCCCAGGCAGCAAGATCAAGTATCTTCCCACCCCAAAGGACGGTCTGGCGCCTCAACAGGACTTCTCCGAAGGTCTTTACATTGACTACCGCTACTTCGACAAGAAGGACATCGCCCCACGATTCGAGTTTGGCTACGGTCTTTCGTACACCAACTTCAAGCTTTCCTCTCTCCTCATCGAAGAAAAGGCCGCTAAAACACCTCTTCCCAAGCCTCGACCTGACGGCCTGACTCCACCAAGCTATTCTACCGACCTACCAGATCCCAAATCTGTACTGTTCCCTGAGGGCTTCAACCAAGTCGAGCGATTCATCTACCCGTGGCTAGATTCCGTAAAGGGTATCAAGAAATCTGACCCCATGACCCCCGCACCACCATCACCTCTTAGCCAAGCAGGTGGTGGCCCAGGTGGCAACCCGGATCTCTACACCACACTCCTGACTGTATCAGCGTCACTAGAAAACGCCGGACCCGTCGACGGCGCATCAGTAGTGCAGCTCTACATTTCTTTCCCGCAAAACTACAAGGACCACGAGACGGGTGAGCCCGTCGACTTCCCCGTTCGCGTGCTGCGCGGCTTTGAGAAGATTCACCTTGAGAAGAACGCAGGCAAGCTGGTGCAGTTTGATGTGACGAGAAGGGATTTGAGTTATTGGGATGTCAAGAGGCAGAATTGGGTGCTGCCTAACGGCGAGTTTGGTGTTAGTGTGGGTTTCTCAAGCCGAGATCTGCCGCTGCAGGGGAAGTGGTGAGCTTGTATTTTCTTGGATAGAAGGGCAACTGGTCTGGTGTTAGGTGTTATATTTTGTTGGTTGCTGATATCCCATATATACAATCTATCTATTGCTGATCTTGCTCACGATGTAAACTACACTGCATCGCTGGCCCGTGACTACTGGGCTTCGCCTTCTTGGATAAGCTCATAGTTCACTCTTTCCCGAGCCATCTTGTCCTTCCATCGGCCTGCGTCCTCTGGCAAACAGAATCGTGCGCCACAGCTTTTTGCCACCGAACTCCATGTAATTCTTCTCTTTCATCGTAATGACATCCACATCCACGAACCCAGCTTCCGTGAAGAACTGCTTTACGCCATCGATAGTAAAGTGCGGAACCACTATCGAGGCATTCATCTTCTGGCGGAACTCAGGGTTACTCTCGCCAACATCATGCTTCTTCTCAGCATCATGGTGGTGATGATGCCCGTGGTGATGCCCATGTCCATGAGATCCAGAACCCTTCTCCTCCCCATGACCATGATGATGTCCATGACCATGAACAGCATGATTCCCCTCGCTTCCCTCAATCATACTCCCATTCTCCCCCGCCAAAATATCACCTCCCTCCAAAAAATCATTGATAACCAACACACCACCCGGCCTCAACCTCTCCTTCAACTGCCTTGCCGCAAACACCACATCCTCGAAATGATGGAATCCAAACCCCACAGTCGCGATGTCGAAGTTCCAAAACCTATCCCCGGAAAGCGACTCGGGGTCAGGATCAGACTTGTCGAAAAGGTCGCCGACAACGGCATTGACTACATCTTCGGAAATTCCGGCGTCGCGGGCGCGCGTGTTGTAGGTGGAGACCATGTTGGGTGATATGTCGATGCCTTGGGTGGAGGTGACGTAGGGTCCGAAGACGCGGGTCATGAGGCCGGTTCCGCATGCGTAGTCTAGAAGGCGGACTGGTTGAGTGGTGGAGTCTGTGAAGGGTATGCCTACCCATGATAGGTCGGAGCGGAGGGTGGTGGCTACTCGGTCGTTGACGACTTTGAACCAAGGCTTACTGTCGTAGGAGTCGGATATGGCACTGTGATACGTTTAGTATGGCTTTACGTTTCTGGATTTTAGGAGGTGTCGCATACTCGAAGTACCGGCGGTTGGCTTCCGCGTAGCTCATCTTGGATGGTGGGTTGGGGTGAGGGGTAGTTTTGGTCTTTTGAGAGTGGTGTTGTAGTCTTAATGGGTATGTAGGATGTTCGGAAGGTGTAAGAGATAGTAATTGGAAATTCTGGAGAAGATCCAATGTTCCTTTTGTATGTTGAAGATAGCTGTGAAGATGGAGGCAAAGTCGCCGATCTACGTCGGAGACATAAGTACGCTAACCCTCTATTGGTGGAGCATCACCAAAATGGATTGGGAAACACGCAGTACATGGCACTATGTTACCGGATATCACAGCATGCAAAGGAAAAAGTACGACTCCAGAGTTTAGTTTACACACATGCTAACTCGGTGAATCGTTGGATGCACAACCGGCCGGACGTTACTCATTCTACATCTGAGCTATGAAGACTAGTCGTCGGAGACATTGTCGTGTGGCTCCGCAAAGTATAGAAAAGCAACCACTTATCGTGAACTCGTAATTCGCCGTCGCGATAGACAGAATATGACTCATATCCGTCTACGACAGAGTAGAACTCTCGTTGTGTTTAACACAGGCATTCTCGTCGATGCGCATGTGTCTGTGTTGTGCCATGTATCATCAAGAGAATATCCTTTCCATGCTGTCTATGTTCTCCGGTGTTGATGAATTATTGTCTTCTCGAGAGATTTGGGTTTGCAGAGCTTGTTGCCGCGCAAGGCCTTCTTCTCTTTTCCGTCGTTTCCTCGCGTCCGCATCTTCCCAATCTGGCTTGGATCCACTTGTCGCAGTCGGTTCGCACGTCTCCAAGAGGGCCTTGCGAAACCGGCTTATGCGGTCGAAGTTGATGTTGAATCGCTCGTTTGCGATATTTACTAGTGTTCGCAGATACCGCTCGTCTACCAAGGCAACATTGCGGCCATCGCCATATTGATACCCAATGATGGAGTCGAATGAATAACCAGCTGACCGGACAGCCACGATGGGGTTCGACTCTGCTGTCTTCGCTGACCCTAGACTCACGGCGCCACTCTCACGGAACCCGGCAGCTAAGGCAGCAGTGAGGACACCTTGGGCATGATCCATGGATGCACTCAGGACGTGGAGTATCTGTGCCACGTCAGACCATGTCAACGTGCTATGATGACTGAAGATACCATGGGTTCAAATTTAAGATGAATGTACCTGCTGGACACGCTAGGTGTTTCCTCCGTTGCTTCGGCCTTGTCTAAGCCAAACTTTGATATGAGGTCACCTGTTGCTTCGTCTCGCCCAAGTGGCGTGTGTGAGATGAACAGCCAAGCACCCCCACCACCTTTTCCTCCTGGTCCAGCGCGTGAAGTCTCACGTTCAGGCAATTCATCTGGTACTTCATTGTATGATTTGCGTCCTTCCAAAAACACGCTGATGCGCCCCGAACAGCTGCTAGTGGTGACTAGTCCTGGGAGACTGTTGATCTCGCCGATTAAATCTCGGATGGGCGCATCGACGGATCCCTTGGGCGACAGATCATGATACTCGCCATCTGGAGCGTCGAGTTGCTCCAAGATCTTTTGCTTGCGAGCTTCGAAGCGTGTCGGCATGTCAATCGGGCGTGCTTTCTGGCTGGGGTGGAAACGTGACAGCGCGCTGTATTTTCGCGTTCGAGTGCGTCATCGATGGTCTGTGCGCGCGTCATCTTTCAAGCAGCCACGAAGGCACCTGCAATGACAACTGAGTATCACGCCTATCACGTTCTCAAATCGCATCACTCGAAACCATGCCACGTAAAGCCGCTAAAAGCGAGAGTGCACCCAGGAGCACCTCTAAACGTCCTGCGCCGGAGGTTCCAGCACGGCAGTCTAAGAGAGCACGGGCTACCGCAAGGAAGTCTTACGTCGAGCCTGAGAGCGACACGGATAGCGACGGGAACAAACCAAAGACAGACGTCGCATCCGACGGTGACGAGGATGACGTTGTAGCATCTGACTACGAGGAACATAGCGACAAGGATCCATCGTCGGAATCCGAGCACGATGAAACCGCCAGTGACGACGAACCTGAGGGCAAGCGAGCAACTCCTAGAGGGCGCGAAACCAAGAGCCTTGCCATACACAAGAAGGTCGCTGGCGAGAAAGAGCTATGGAAACCCGGTGCGAAGCTCGCACCAGGAACGCAGCTGATCATCAAGAAACCAAAGGCTCGAGATGCAGGCGACACGCCGTACTTGGATCACACAATCCACCCAAATACTATGCTGTTCCTTAAGGACTTGACGGCTAACAACGACCGCCAATGGTTGAAGCGTGAGTGATGGCTTATTACGTTTCGTGTCAAACGGCACGATCGGATCGCTAGCTGACGTCTATATCGTAGTCCATGACCCTGACTTTAGAGTTTCATTCCAAGATTTCACCACTTTTGCGGAGAAGGTATCCGAGAAGATCATCGAGGCAGATGAGACCATCCCAGAGTTGCCTGTAAAAGATGTAGTAAGTGTTTCCGATTGGATTGTCGCAGTACGATTTACTAAAACGTGTAGATCTACCGGATTTACAGAGGTGAGCCCGAAGTATGGTCTCAGCTGGATTATGCTCACAGTAGAAAGACATTCGGTTCTCGAAAGACCCAACCCCCTACAAGGTGAGTCGATACATCGAGCTTCCACGCTAGGGTGGGATCATGCCCTTGAAGCCGTGTCACGAAGTCGAGAGACACAGCATGCTGCCAAATCATCATGGCACTATGGCATATACTCTGCGACCCGACGAATAGCTTCAGCATGATGCCCTTTCATGGCTACATGCAAAGCAGGCTGACCTGATCTAGACTTACTTTTCTGCGGCCTGGTCAAGAACTGTAAGTCACACATGGGTACAAGCTTATGTGAGCCCCACACTGACATTGTATACGACGTGCAGGGACGCAAGGGACCTTACGCACACTACTACATCCAGGTGCAACCCAATGGTGGTAGCTTCGTAGGTATGTTCGATTCTCCTCTCTTCGTCTTCGCGGAGACACCCGAGCCGCGAGCTGTCGTGGAACTCAAGCGCAGTGCGAAGTGACCTCGTGGCCACCGCATTGCTTCTTTCGACTCCATGTGCATGGAGTATGCAAGTGTACCCAATGCTCGTCACCACGACAGCTGCTGCGAGCCTCGGCTCTACAGCGACTCTTGTCGTGTGGTCGACCTTGCGCTCCTGACCATGTGTCGCATTATACGACTGCCGGCTCGGAGACGACAATGCATCGCCATGCGGTGAGATTGACAGATCCGAGTAGCGCTGCACGTTATGGCCATGCGGGGAATATTGACGGTCACCATGCCACACAGTTGGACCCATGTGCCTATGCCTCGTCGGACAGCGTAGGGTAACATCTTGTCTTCTCGGTTGTACCGCGCGGTATCCGGGGAGGTAACGTATCGAACCGTTTAAGGGTTTGGCAGCGTTCAGCGAGGCGTCGTCGGGATGGTACACTCATCTGATGCACGTCAGTGTATATCCATTCTGCCTATGCAAGCGGTACCATAGTCAGCGGCGCGTCAATGGCTCATCGGTATCCTTTCTTACACGAGAATGCGCTGACTTTGAAAGGTGGTGGCTTCTGGCAGCCTGACGCGTCGACTCTAGCCAAACTACGACGCGACATTGATCGCAAACCGCACAAGATCAAGGCCGTACTAACGGACTCTGGTATTCGAGAGGCTTTCCTGGGTGGAGTCAAAGATGACGAGAAGAAGGCTGTGAAGGCTTTCACGAGCTTGTCGATGAATCAGTCGAATGCTCTGAAACGCAACCCAAAGGTATGCAGCATCTGTTCAGTCCATCCCTGGAGACAGCAGGGTATCAGCAGACAGCTCTCGTGTCATAAAGCATGAAATATGCTTGTGAAACACCATGATCACGACGTTTTCTCACAAGCAGAGTCGATTTTTGCAAGGTCTGGTAACGGCTTTGCCGCGATCGGGTACTGTCCGCCGCCTGACACGGTTCAACACCAAAACTAGCACGGAAGCTCCCCGCCTACAAGGATGTATCTCCATGAAACTCTTCCGCTACACCATCTCGCGAACGGCACACGATCACGATGACGTGCAATTAACTTCAGTCTCATACTGGAAGGTTGTGCGTTACAACTGTGTGCCGTCCGGCAAATAGAGTTTCAAGTCGCCCCGCACTCAACAAGTTGAGCTGAGTTGGAGTTGTCATAGCTAGCACCCTTTGAGTAGGCGGGGTTCTCTGCTCGCAGCAGTCTGTCAAAGCCTAGTCGCGGGGATTATGATGAACAAACTTCAAACTTCAAATTCACTGCAGCTGTTCATGTTTGCTGACACCTCTCCAGGGATATGACCATGATCACAAAGATATCGAACTTATGCGGCTCCGCAACTACACCATGGGGCGGAAGCTCGCAGACGATGAGATTGTTGGTTCTGGGGGCTTGGAGCGAGTGGGTGAACTCATTGCCAGTCTGGTACCCTTTGTAAGTCTATCCTTCCCTACTCTTGACATTGACGGCCTCACGTTCCCATTGGACAAGAAAAGATAAGAGCGGCGGCAAGTTGTTAGGGAAGTGCCTGTACGGTGCAAGCGATGGGGTGACTATAGTGCCGGCCAGTAGTGCGTTGGCAATGCAGTCACCCGCCCATCGTAAAATCCTTCAGGTGTGAAGGACGACCACAGCAATCTCCCGGGAGGCGTTGCACACAAGGCCGCTAACAACCGTGGCAGATCACCTATCTGAACAGCATCGCGATGCCCGACGACGACACGTCAGACTCGAGCGAGGACGAAGGAAGCGATGCCGAGCCCGACGATGACAGCAACGCCGCAGAGGATGACGAGGCTTGATGAGAGCAATTTCAACAACGCATGTTCGAGGCACGGTGCTTCGAGCCGAAGTCATTTAGATGCACACATTGGTGGGAGCGTGGAGGAGTGGGCCACGCAAGCGCAAAGACCGCCAATAGACGCTGGTGTAACCCTGCCACGGTGGCGCTGACTGGTTGACACAACCGATGCCATGCAACAGACTAAGTCATCGTGCAGCATTAGCTCCAGCACGAGCGGATAACTGGGATCAACATGCAGCGCTAGTAGGTCACGGGAGCACTTATGCCAAATGCAGTATCCTCGGTCTTATGATGGGCCTTGTTCATTTCGGATCTAGCTTCCTCGTACCCTGGCCCCCTCTTAAAGCTACGCTCAGACGCGGGCCTGCCGTCTTTCTTAGCGGCTTTTCCCTGGCTAAACGAACGAGGGGAGGCAGTGCACAGTGCTCACTCTCCCTCTGTTCGATCACGACGCAGTATAGATGGCTGACCGCATCGATGCCAGATTCTCGCCATGATATTGCAGCAGAGGATTTGCCAGGGTGTGCAGCTATCGCTTCATATAATCGCCAGGCCCCGATCAGCTGGCCTCCCCACTATCCATTTTGGCACAGTGACATGCTGCACACGTTGCGTTAGTCTATACACGGCTACGGCTCGGGGCGCACTCGTTGTCCGTCTGGGATGCATGGGTTTACGCCCTAACGCGTCTGATCGAGGCCAGCTGCATCTCATGACGAAGGCTTCAGCGAATCTTTACCGGCGCCGTGAGTAGCTGGCGGTTAGTTGCTGCATCGCTCAGCGTCATGCACTCATAAGAAGCGGAAAGTTGAGCGGCTTACGCTGTTGGGCTGCGCTTGACGTGGTGTAAGCATGACACCAGCATCTCCAACGCCAAACCTTCAGAATTCCAATGCGAGCTGTGGTCCTTCTACGGCGCGATTTTGCATCGCACAGTGCATTCCAGTTGAAAAACGAGGCTTTGAGGAGCTTCAGAATGCCTTCAAAAGGCGGTGTGGTTATAAGGCAACTCGTTGTGTCTATTGAATCCCACCGTCCATCACACCGATGAGCTGCAGATATTTCTTTCTTCCGCGAATTAGCACGCTTCGGGCTGATCCATCGACCCGCAATGGCTTGCGTCCGCTTATCCACCCCTTCCGCGTCTCTAGATGATATTTACCGGCGTTTGTGACACAGCTGGATCTCGCAAAGCCAAAACGTGTCGCCTTGCCCTTCTCGGCCTTCCGCCGGGTTCGGTAAGGCGAGCCTACACCGTCGTCTGCCCGAAGATGAGGCGGACGAGCGCTGGGGTAGAGAACGGAGATGGGATACCGCTTATCCGACAGGATGTCGTCCCTCACACCACTACTGCAAGGACGGAAACTCGTTTGTTGGAGCATCAGCAACATGCGGTACTGCGGCGCATCAAAAGTATTGTCAGGATGCAAAGGAATGCGTGTACACCGATGCAACGCCATCACCAGACTGACCACGCCTCTATCGCACCAGCACACCTTGACAGATCGGTGAGGTTGTTTGTTTTGCACTGGCCACGGACGCGCTGTGGAAGCATTGCCCGCGTTCTTTATGCCTGTCAGACACTAGAACGGTGCCACGGGCGAGGCATCGTCTCGGAGGCTTGACGATATCTTCCCGCCTGATATATCTGAATCTGGTTTTACCTGCAGATTGGCGGTACACAAAATGCGGCACAAGCGACATGGCCCTTTTGCGCTGCTTACGGTGACACGAATGGGTAGACTCCGCAATCTCCAGCTATGCTATGCATATTGCGGGAAGGCTTCGGTGACACAAACTTCGTTAATCTAATTATCAACGGGACACACGCGGGAATTCCACATCTCGTCCCGAGCCGCGAATACACCTGGTTCCAATTGAGCCAGCTCCCACCGTCCACGCGCGGCGTCGCAATCTCCATGGCCACCACCATGACTGAGCATCGCTTACCGTCTGCACTGCAGTGGTGATGGACGTTGCGCGGCTATTTGCTTGGGTGAATCGACCGAGGCGGCTGAAGATCACGTCCAGAGCAGATCCTGGTTGATCTACCCCACAATCCGCTCACTTGGTGTAACCGTCATCAGCGGCATTTAACGGCACTTTTTCAATGTGCAACACAAGGCTGCTGTCCTTGATTGTCGGCCAAGTCAAGGATGACGCTCCTTGGACTGATGGTTTCAGACGAATATAGTCGCAGACAAATGACTGCATTGGGCCTCATCTATCACGCGCCCGTGACTGACTCGAAAGGGCGAAATACGGTGTGGCAGTCAATCAAATTACAACAATTATTAAAAGCGATTGGCTGCAAGCGGTCATCCCGCTGAATACGGTGCCAATGAGTGAAAACGGCACTGTGACCGGGACGACGGCTTTGACCGGTAGACACGTCTTGTGACTGCAGCAAGGTTTTTTGTCGTGCTCGATAGGATTTACCCGTCGAGCAGCAGCTGCAAGGCACATGCCAGCTGGAATGCTGAGATTTGCCCAAGTGCCCAAGTAAGTTGAATGCTAGGCAAGGGACGTGCTGATTGGTCGATTAAATTTGACCGAGACCTGGACGGTGGAAAACTAAGCTTGAGAGAGTGCGGGCCGTCCGCCCTAATCTCGAGGCAAGAGACACAGGACGAGGTGCTTAGGCAAGCATGGATAGCAATGAACTACTGCTGACTATTCTTTGTTCCAGGTGTGGGCGTCGTCACGTATATGCAGTCAGGTGAAAATAGGCCGGCGAGGAGCCGAGGCTGAAAGCGCCCTGGGCGTTTCGCGATTCTCCATGCCACCGTGCCTACATCCGCACAAGTCCGAGATTCGTCACCAGCGGGACTTGCGGCACCGCCACTACCAAAGAATAGGCACAAGTGCCGTCGAATTCTTTGTATCGGTTTGTCTCGACTATCGTGGAGGCGTCGAATCAGCAGCGCGAGGAAGTGTTTTGCCATGGGCACCAGTTCGCAAGCCTTCGCCGGCGCAAGGGATGAACGGTTTGCCAAATTGTGGATGTCAGATTGAGAGGCGTGATTCGAGGACGAAAGTGGGCTGCGTCGCATGCCGGCCGTCTTACACGAAGCAATAGCAGCTGAGAGAGACGATGTCGGACGGTTTCTTTGCAGGCAAGACTGGCCAGAATCGGCTCTATGACCAAGCAGCTTGCGCGTGAAGGCGAAAAAGAGGTGCTGCTGCGCTCAACGAACGGTTCTCCCGGCG